TCCATGTTCCATAGCTATGAAGTGAAGGAGCTATGAGAGGTAGAACCAGGACAAGGACATTCATTGTTCAGAGGAAAACTGCAGGGAGTATAGGATTTCTCTGAACCTTTAAGAAGTAGTAGGACCTTAGTGATGCAATAAAGCATTTCCTTACAGAGTGTAAATGTTTTATAATTGAGGCTGTAATACTTTTTATTTTAGTTATGATATAATTTATGTGTAATAACATGAAAAGTTTTAAGTTTACAGTTCTACAGTTACACATATCATTTGGAAAACCAGTCACACCGTCCAGATTTTTCAACAATCTCATTAAACCCCAGATTGTGCTGTGGTACCTCATAATCAACCATGCCCACACTGCAACTCAGACAACCCAGACTCTGATTATTGTTCCTACAGGTTTGTTTTTGTTTTAGTTATTCAATGTGCTTTTATTGTATCTATTCAAGGTGAAAAGCATATTTTGATACCCATATACAGAGTGAAATGTTTTATATACTCAAACAAATTAACATTATCTTATCACTCTACATAGAATCTGTGCACGCATGTGGTGACAGCACCTATAAATTTTCAGCATGTAATATCATATTATAAATGACAGTCTTCATGCAGTATATTTCCCCAAATTTATTCATCCTAAAAATATGTTTTAAAACTTTTACTCACTACTATTTTCCTCCCAGTTGTCCTTCCTCTAATTACTTTTCCCCTCTGTTCCTATTTATTAAGCTTTGTAAAAAAGTTTCTACATATAAATTAGCTCATATATTATTATTTTTATTTCTGATTGTGACTTTTTTCCATTTAGTTTAATGACCTCTAGTTTCATCCATGTTGACACATGACAGTATATCCTTTATAAATGATAAATCGTGTTCCATTGTATTTATGTGTGCCATATTTTCTTTATTCATTAATCAACATATGGACACTAAAGGTAACAATGTTATGGCTTTGAGAAATAATGCTACAATGAAAGTGAGAACACAGATATCTCTTTGAGGCTCCTATTTCATTTCTTTGCATACTTATCCAACTGTGATTACTGCATCATACAGTAAGTTTATTTCTAATTTTTGTCAATCCTTTATACTGGGATGCATACATACTGTATGAATGAGTTCCCTTTTTCCACATGTTCAACAGAACTTGATCTCTCTCATTTTTTTTTGGTACTAGTGATAAAAACAAGGACACCAACCATGTTAGGCAAATGGTGTACCAGTGAGCTACAGGACTTTATATTTTCAGATATAGCATCTCCCTAGCTTGCCCAGGCTGATTATAGAATTTTGGATCTTCCTGCCTCAGCATCCCCAGTAGTGAGTATTATAGGCATCCTGGCCCATCTGATCTATCTCTTCTACTTTCTTTCTTTTTTTCTCTCTTTTTTATTCTTTGATAGAATATATCCTAACAGTTTAAGGTGTTTTTTTTTTCTCATTATGGTTTTGAGTTGCATTTCTAGAACCATCCAGTGTGTTCCCTTCTGAGTCTAGGTTTCTTCACTTGAGATTTATTTACTTGCTTGTGTGTACTAGTAATTTCTATTCATTGCTGAGTCACATTCCATTACATGGATATTTTCTCATTAATTTCCCACTTCAGTACATTCGGGCTATGTCCATCATATAGTGGTTAATTATAAAACTGTGTGAACACTCATGGGCTTGTGATACATAAATAGATAGCCAAGAGTGGGTTTGCTGAGTCAAATGATTTACTTAATCCTATAAGTTCTTTAAAGAATTATGTCCATAAAGATGAAATGTATGGCTATTATACATAAGAAATTTTATACATAAGCATGTGTATCAAGGTATTAGTGCAACTCATTCAGAAGTTTTCTCTAAATCAGTATGGCTCTCCATAATGCTGTGGAAAATGTGACATTTTGTATCACTAATAGAACTGGTAGGTGGCAAATTTGACAACAAGAAATTGGAATTAAATAATTTCAATGTAAAAGTACCAATTTTTCCCTTGTGAAGTCAAAGGACTTTAAT